GAGAAGAGAAGAGAAGAGAAGAGAAGAGAAGAGAAGAGAAGAGAAGAGAAGAGAAGAGAAGAGAAGAGAAGAGAAGAGAAGAGAAGAGAAGAGAAACACCACTCTGTACCCAAAGCCATTTACCTAGGAGAGAGGGCTTCTGGTCTCTGGCAACTATTCCCAAGTCAGTGTTGCTTTTTATGCAAGGAATATTTGCTGTACAAATGCCCAAACAGAACCCAGGATTCTCTCCCAGAGGCCAACCCAGATGAGAGAGATGCATCCTGTTTTACCCTGTCTTTTGCCTCAGCTGCCTTCTCCCTGTCCTAGACCCTGACAGGCCTGTGTGGATAGGGTCACAATTTMAAACGAGAAGGTGGTGACACCCTGTTTCCTTCCTGCTCTTCCTCTTGCCATGGTGGCCAGGGATGTGGTATGAAAGCTCCCTAGGAAGGCCATTAACCCCCTGCTTCCTGGCCAGGGCTCTGAACCACTGGGTCGCTGCATCAGGGAGGTGGACACTACTTCCTCCAGCTACACTTCGTAAGAAAATGAGCACTCTGTGTTGGGAGTCTTTTATCTGCCAAATAGGCCTTTTAAACACCTTTGGCAGGCCGTGTATTAACCCAGAGCTTTGTGTTTTGCAGCAGGAACAAAAAGAACAATGCTGTGGCCGGCATCCGTGTGAAATGAAGTCACAGAGCAGAGGAACTACAGGGGCTCCTCATTCGTGCTTTCAAAGAGCAGACTTGGGCAGTCGCCACCGGGAAAGGACTCCGAATCCTGAGGATCAGGGGCCGAGCAGCAGAGAAAGGTGGGAATTCACACGCATCCATGTTCCCAGTGCTTCCCCTGCACATCTCGCTAGCTCCCCCCTGGGCACACTGTTTGCTTTGGCACTGAACCCACCTCTTCTACGCTCAGGGAAGGAAAACCTCTCAACCCAACTCAGCACAGGCCCTCATGCTGCAGAGGCAGGTGTCCTGGCACCTGAATCCCTTATGGGTCCCTGAATCCCTTATGGGTCCCGTCCCTCTATGACTTCTGCAGGCAGGATTTATGCAGGAACACGACAGCAAAATTTTTAGTCCCTAGAGACCCACATTTGCACTCAGAGACTGTGTTTGAAGTTGACAGCGGAGAAAGAGCTCTTGGGTAACTGATAATCAATTGAAGTTAGTTTTATATATGCAGCATTTTTTTTTCTCAGGGCTTCATAACATAGACTTGCTCAGATTTTTCCTGGATCTTAGAAGTCATGCCAGTTTAAATATACAGCTATGAGAAGCAAGTATCCTGTTGCATAGCTTTGAATGTCGTAACAGTTTCCTGGACCTCACCAGATGCAGGGAATGATATAGCATTTTTGCATTTTCTTAGGAGGACTGAGTACTGTATATTATTTTATATACAAACAATATTTGGTGTCAATACTTACAATATTGTGCTTGTCAAGGATATGGAATGTGGATTTCTTGATGTTGCTATGAGTATTTTAAGTTCTAGACAGAGGTAATATTATTTAAAGTTGTTCTTTGACACAGTAGTCATCATAAATAAGGTTGATGAGTTGCTGAAACTGAAATCTGCTGTTTTGCTGTATCTTTAACAACAATTGACTGCAGGGATCATTTCCCGCCAGGAGTGAAACTTATCTTTTTCTTTTTAATAGCTTTCTTTTTGGTTGTATTTTTTCCTTAGGTTGCCTAACATAAAAATGAATGGAGTTCTTGTTCTCTGCCTGTACCTAGTTATCAGGAGCAAGGGAGAATATGAAAAGAAAATGAAGGGGTGGCAGTAGGTAAAAGGAGACAGAACCTACAAACAATTATTCCCTTTGTGTTTCTCAGCTCTTCCATGTCATGATTTTGTAGATATCTGGCTGAAAATCGACCTCCTCCTCCATCTGCAGGCTAGGCTAAAGGATGATGGATGAGAGGAGACTGACACTTTCTCTGAGAAAGTATTGGTGAAAACATAAGCTTACTTTGAAAACAAATTCCAAAGCAGTAGTGGGGCATCACATAGCACAATCAGGCCTTTTCATCTACCTAGAGGGCAAGTTGCAACATCCAGAACCATCTTTCAGTGATCCCATTAAATATTTGAGACATAAAAGAAGAAAATTATYCTGCAGTAAGTGTTTACTGTGAATAAGTCAGTACCTGCCTGTCAGTAACTACCCCCTACCCCATTATATTTCTTCACTGTAATTGTCACTTCAACCTACACCTTCAAATTTGCCCCACCTTACCCTAATATGTCTCTTTCTTTCTGCATTTGCCCTCCTAATCTGTGATTATTCTGCCTCTGTGCTGAAACATAGTGGAGAAGGTTTCCCTTGAAAACCTTCCCTTTCCACGACAGTCAGGACTTCCTCTTTTTAATCAAGATTTGATAGCCAGAGTCAATAATAGTGCTCCTCAGCAGCAGGAAATAGCTCTGGGGAGGCAAAGTAACATTTTGCATCCTTCAAGGAGAGCACTGAGGAGAAACATTTTTAATTTCCACATCAGTCAGTGTGCYAAGAGCAAATGGCATCTCTTGGAGCTGGATCCTAGATATGAAGGGAAGGAACTTGATAGTTGTTTTTGAGGGGGAGAAAATGGCTCTTCTCCCTGTACAAAAAAGCTGAGCTTTTTATGCTAGAAGAGAGAGAAGGAAAACGAAGATAAAGGGAGAAGAGCAGGAATGAGGAATAAAGATGTTGTAAATACAAGGAAAAGAGAATAGATGAGGGAGAAGACACCACTACAAAGCAGGGGTGGATGAAAGGGAAGGATAAGAGAAACGGAATTGTTAGGGCAGAGAGGAAGTGACCATCTATATATAACATTTTTKTGTGTGTGTGTTTGATGCTTTTTAAAGAAAGGTTACTTTTTTTTAATTACTGCAAATGGATGAAAGACATGGAAACATAATTATTTATGTTGTATTCACTGAAGACAACAGCAAAACTCTAAAGATCTTACAGCCCAAGACCACTTGAAGCACTGTCAAGTTGGAACTCTTTGCTGAAAAGATTGTCTCGCAAAATCTTTGCTTTTCCCCTTGTTTTCCTCTGCATGGTTATTTCTCTGCCATGCTCYCCAAATCCTAATGCAATGAATTCCACTTTCATTATACATCTTTTTAATTCTCTCTCTTTTATCTCCAGCAAAATGATACTTTCAGGTATATGGACATGAATGTTTAGAAGGACTAATACAAGGAAATAAGAGTTTCAGGACTTTTTATTCACTAAAATTCTTGGTGTTTTTTGGAATACTGTATATACACAATTTTGGAATACTGTATATACAGTGTAGTGTAAAAGAACGGAATGTAGCTTCTTTCTTCCAAGACTAAAAAAAAAAATGTACAAAACTTTTGCATAAGGCTTGAGATTAAAAAAAGAACAGATTGCCATACAGTAGGGCCAGCTGAAGCACTAAACTTCTGTTTGTCCAGTTCTGATGCTATCAGTATCTCACAATGGAGAGGAGAGGAGAGGAGAGGAGAGGAGAGGAGAGGAGAGGAGAGGAGAGGA